ACTCCATATTGACTACTTCTGTTAATGTGTGATGATATTCTGATCCTCCGTATTGACTACTTCTGTTAACGTGTGATGGTATTCTGATACTCCATATTGACTACTTCTGTTAACGTGTGATGGTATTCTGATATTCCATATTGACTCTAATCTCACATTTCATAGCTAACAGAAATAAATAAATTCTGCGAAATCAAGCTTGATCAACAAAGAGGCAGAAAAGTGCAGTCCAGGCACTCAAACGTCGGTAAATTCCTTTCCTTTCCTATATTTCCACATATTACAAAAATAATATAATATTAACGATAATCTCATTACTTCAACCATTTCTTTTTATCTTAACCACGAGTATCTTCATTCTCCCTAATTCATAGCCAAATATTTTAGAAACGCCTCCAATAATCGTTAATCTTTCCGTATTTTACCAACTGTGTTTTATGTGGTAAATTTTAATACGAACGCACATTTGAATTCTGAAATTTATCGAGTGGCATCGAATATTCCAATAGGTTTTCAAGTTATTTTGTTCACAATAAGGAATCAACATTTTCTAAGTCATATCTATGAAATCAGCTGTTTATTTGCCGATTGGTTGGAGAAAAATCTTCTAAGTAATCCCTTACAACGAATCAGCAACTAACGCTATTCCACATAGAGATATCAAAATAAAACTAGAATTATGTCTGATAAGATTTATTATACAACCCTTGAAAGTAAGCTTTCCAGCAACCATTGTTGCTGTATCGAATATCTATTTTATTGTTGAACTTGAGAAACAAGTCATTTTAGTAAAACTTTAAATCGAATCTGTCCAAGAAAAAACCTAATGCAATATTTCTATTTGAAGCTTGTTTTTAAGATCAGAGATAAGAATCACCTTTATTTTACTAAACTTGTTTGTATGTTTGTTGTTAAGCACAAAGTTACGCAATGTTCTATGTATGTTCAGCCCATCGCGGGTGTTAGACTTACCGCTGAGAAAACATTTGAAAAAAAAAATTATACCTCATCTTAAGTACTGTACGTCATAAAGATCTCTACCAATGATAATGCTGCAACGGAGTCTCTTTTCTGAAACTTCTGTGAATCTACCAGTGGCTCTCATTCACACATCTAAGGTCTTTAATAAAAAGCTACTAACTGTTAGATCTAACTTATCATTTATTTAGTGAGACAATACGATACTTGCACTGTGTGCAAATGTGAGTTGAGATAATTCGTTTTGAAGCTGTGATTATCTCAAAAACAACAAGACACATCCCGTATATCTCATAGAAGAAACTAGATATCTAAATTCGGACTTGAATTATTAAAAGTTAATATAATTTCCTGCATTTCAGAATGCAAAAAAAAACGAGAAATAAATACGATTTAGAATAAACATATACAATTTTTGTTTTCTTTCCATGTTTGCAACTATTAAGGATAACGAAAGTAATCTAACATGCGATCAAAACACTTTTACAACTCAATGTCTTAATAGTGTTAACTTTTTAAAAAAAAATTCAGAAAAAGAAGAGTATTTATACATAGCAATCCAAATAAGTCGTTCGAATTAATGAGCAAATTCACAGAAATACCATCGAGATTAAAAAAGTATAAAAGAATCTAACCTATATAAAAGCCAGTGTGTGTTACGTCACGTCATGCTTGATTTCTCGAAATTGGAGGAGTCATAAAATTGAAAATGCATTTATCCAGATAGAATAATTTGATTACTGTCTTCCCATTACAATTTTAGTGACGGGTTGCAAGGAGGATGTGAGGAGGGAATGCCGTGAAACCTTATAAGTGTAGTGAGTGTTGGGATCACTTAGTCTAGAGCCAAGTGCATCATATTTATCATGAAAGTTAAAACGTCGATTCAATTTTAAACTTAAATCGTTTCTGAATTAATCTATTTTCTGTTATATCATCAACGTTTTTAACAAAA